CATCTTCCTCTTTTTCTTCTTTGTCATCAATCTAATTTTTCGGACTGATATTCTAATTTTTGAGACTGATATTATGATTTTCGGAATAATTTTGGAACTGATTTTTGGATTTTGGGACTGATATTCTAATTTTGAATTTTTTGGAGACTAATATTCTAATTTTGGGACTAATTTTGGGAGTGATATTCTGATTTTGGGATTGATTTTGGAACACAGCACATCATTTCGTTGTTTGTTTGTTGTTGTTCATTATCAAAGGCTCATAGACATACATCCATATCCAATAAGGCTTTTAAATCTGAAGTCCACACTGTAGACCAATTAAAACCCCTAAAACAAAGATTTCAGGATCTTTTAAAATATTGGGGAAAAGAAATCAGGCCTTGTTCATAATTTTAAGATTTTTAAAAATTGACCCCACTAGAATCTTATTGAAACTAAAGAAATGGGTTCAAAATTCTTTTTTTTTTTTCTTCATAGATTTATTGTCCTAAAATAATATTCACTAATCAAAAATATATGCATGGTTTCCTTTGTTAGAAACAGAATATTAATAATTTTTACAAAATTAAGTACTTGTATTTTGATTTTTTAATTAAAAGTTTGGTAGCTTATGTAATTACTCTCCTTTCATCTCCTTTGGCACAAATTTTATACCAATGATTTCATCATCATCATCTTTATTGTTGGCTCGTCCTAGTACAGCCTAAATATGAAACTAAAGAGACCGCCGCAGCTCTGCCTCGGAATGCGTGGATGATGCATGCTCGATTTGCCTTGCTCGGAAACCCGTTACTATGCCACTATTGCCTCTGTTTGCACTGTTCTGCACCTCTGAGGGATGTGAAAATTCTTGAGGCACCTCTGAATGATTCCCTGATCATTTTGAAATGCCACCGGCCAATGAAAAGCACCACCGACCATGTAAATGTGACAATCGACCATAAATTGGGTCACCGACTGGACTCTGATGGTCGGTCGGCACTGAAAGTGGCCGGCCGGCCATTTATTCCTGCAGAATCCTGTTTTTGCTGCAGTAGTGGACAAACAGTGCATGGCAAGGAAATTTCAAAGCAATGTATGCATGACCACACTCCCTATCATGTTATGGACTCAAGGGAGTGTGGCCCTTGGTCCTCGGGCCACCAATCACGCATCTCGATGCATGATGGCCAAAGGCACCAACTTTGCCAATCAATGTAAATGAATGCAACAAAACGAATGAATGCTTCACGCCCTATCATGTTGAGATCAAGGGCATCGATGACCGAGGATTGAGACGTGTTTCGTCACTTTAAGTGCGAACACATCTCATTCCTCATACTTGGTTTGACACCCCAAACCAAGCAAAATGTAATGCATGTATGCAATGCGGCTCAAGTATGTAACATGACTCAAATATGCAACATGAGACTAAGTTAACAAAGCATGCCAAATGCGGTGCAACCTATCCTGCAAGTATGCAATGTGCCAAACATGCAACAATACGCAATGAAATTAGCATGTGACAACACACAATGAACCAAATATGCAACAAACATGTAATGGTGGGCTTAAACCGCAAAGGACAAACCTCAGCCTTGCCTTTAACAGTGGCCAAAAATGATGGAAATGATAGATAAATGCTCATGCAAACATGTACACCAATGGGCCTAAAGCTAAGGCACAAAAGATAACTTTCAAGAACACTCAAAAGATGATAAACATGGACATTAGACCAACATGTTAAATTCTGAAAGTGTATAGAGGGTGATGCCAAATAAACCATGTTATGCAAGTAAGGCATGCAACAATGACCAAAACTTGAAGCCAACAAAGGAGTCCAAACCATAGCTATGTCAACCAAACCTCAAAGAACCAAAATGACTTAAAACAGTCCTTCCAAAACAAGACTAAAGCATGCATAGATCATTGTTAAAACATGCTAAGAAATGAATGCAAAACAAAGGGGGATTAAAGGCCACAAAGAGGGCACTCTACTATAACCACCCCAACCACATATGGCATAGACTAATCAATGGAAAACAGAGTTTTAACATGCAAAAGGAGCCCCAAAACCCACTAATATGGCAGCCCAAAGCCTCAAACACATAGGCATGCACAATGACTCATTTTAAGGCACAAAAGAGCATCTCTTCAAATCATGGAAAGGATGATGAATACAAGTATACAAGCATGGATTATGGACTGAAATAGCATGTAAAATGATTCCAAATCACTGAAACAACCCAACTAAAGTATGCTAATGACTCACACTCAAGGCTCACAAGCCAAAATGCATGGTGGCTATACCAAACATGGCAAACATAATCAAATCAGTACCCAACAGACCTCAAGCATGATGAAATATGACCAAAAGCTTCATGAAGTCAAGCTAGAACATGCAAGCATGGAGAGGGTAAATGCATGACGCATGTTATGACAATAAAAGGGGTTACTAGACAAGTGTATGATGCATGTAATGGACCATCAATCCGACCAAAAACAGAGGTATAATGTGACCAAATAACACCCAAAAACCTCTGAAATGGAGCTAAGTAAAGCTAAACATGTATGCTACCCTTATGAGCCAAAAACATGAACAAATGAGAAACAAAGGGAGAGGGGTGTCCCTCCCCTATACAAGACTTCAAGACCCCTTCACCATCATTGAAAATCCATTAGATTTCAGTGGTGAGAAGGCCAATACACAAAAGGTTCCAAAGCTCAACAAAGAAGGCACAAAATGGGCCAAATAAGGCCTAAGAGGAAGAGGTCGACCCCCAACACCAAAATGACCTCAATAAAACATCTTAAACATCAAAAAATAGAACTTTTATCAGTTATACACAAAATTCAAAACAGCATGCAAAGTGGGTTAAAAGCTAGTGCAAGAATGAAAAATATAAAGTAATTATGTTCACCATTGAAGAACACTTGAAGAACAGCAACCTCAGGCCCCTTTTCTAATTGAAACCAGCTTAAAAGCTCTAAGAACAACCTCCCAACACCTCAATAACCCAAGTATGGTGTAATACTAGGTGCCTTAGTGCAAAACTAAGAACAAAACACCCTTTTAAGCCCTCTAACACACACAAATGAAGAGAGAGAGGGAGATATAGAGAGAGAAAGTTGTATATATTATATATCTCTGGTTTTTGTTGAACCTCTTCAAAGGAGAGGGAAGGCTCTCTTATATAGAGCAAGATAAAGACCTAAGCTTCTTAAAGAAGCTAAACAAAAAAGGGTCAAGGGGGTCAAGCTTCTCAAGGAAGCTGAGGCAAAGGGTGCAAGCTTCTTGAGGAAGCTAAGACAAAGGGTCAAGCTTCCTCAAGAAGCTAAGGCAAAAGGTGCAAGCTTCTCCAAGAAGCTAGAGCAAAAAAGGTGCAAATGGTGCAAATCCTCCATACACGTGTATGGAGGACAAGTCCGTGCACTCCAGCTGGCACAGCTGGCATGCACAATTCCTCAAAAAGGCAAAAAGGAGGTACCGTCCAAAAAAAAAAGACAATCGGCCAAATAAAGTGCCGGTCGACCACACAAAGAGCCGATACACCTAACAGAAGTGCCGACCGACCAAACATTTGATCGGTAGCAAAAAAAGCAAGGCCGGTGGCTTCATGCCACGGCCGATGGGTTTTAGGGGATGGCTAACAAGCCACTTCCTACCCTCAAGTGGAAAAACAAACAAGTTCTTGGTGCAAAACCAAATACAGAACAAGCAAGTTAAGAGATCCCGAGGCAAGGCGCGCGGCCGAAACTTCCGAAAACTCAAAACGAACACGAACATGGATGATCACCAAGCGTTCAAACGATGACGTCCAAGTCTTGAGGATGGTCAAAAATGGGGTGTCTACAAAGGTGCGGGGGCAATTTTGAAGTTTCGCCCCCGAAACGCCCTTTTTCGACTAAGTTTTGAGCGTATTCGGCTCTAAATCCCAACCTACTGGTCTGAATAGCATTCCGTCAATTGTCACACGTCCTATTTAGCATGGGGAACCTATTCGTGTTGGTCACACGAAGGTTCGGGGGATGTTTGAATTTTTGCCCCCGAAACGCCTCTTTTCGACTAAGTTTTGGGCGTATTCGGCTCTAAATCCCAACCTATATTCCGTCAGTTGTCATAAGTCATATTTGGCATGGGGAAACTGTTCGTTTTGGCCACACGGAGGTTCGAGGGCTGTTTTGAAGTTTCACCCCCGAAACGCCCTTTTTCGACTAAGTTTTGAGCGTATTCGGCTCTAAATCCCAACCTATAGGTCTGAATAACATTCCGTCAGTTGTCACATGTCCTATTTGGCATGAGAAAGCTGCTCGTGTTGGCCACACGAAGGTTCGGGGGTTGTTTTAAATTTTCGCCCCCGAAACGCCATTTTTCAACTAGGTTTTGGGCGTATTCGTCTCTAAATCCCAACCTACAGGTCCGAATAACATTCCGTCAGTTGTCACAAGTCCTATTTGGCATGGGGGAGGTGTTCGTGTCGGCCACACGGCGGTTCGAGAGCTGTTTTGAATTTTCGCCCCCCGAAACGCCTTTTTTCGACTAAGTTTTGGACGTATTCGGCTCTAAATCCCTACATATGGGTCCGAATAACATTCCGTCAAGTGTAACAAGTCATATTTGGCATGGGGAAGCTGTTTGTGTCGGCCACACGGCGGTTCGAGGGCGCCCCCAAAACGTCTTTTTTCGACTAAGTTTTGGGCATATTCGACTCTACCTCCCAACCTACAGGTCCGAATTACGTTCCGTCAGTTGTGACAAGTCCTATTTGTCATGGGGAAACTGCCCGTGTGAGCCAAACGGTGGTTCAGGGGCTCTTTTCAATTTTCGCCCCTGAAAAGCTCTTTTTCAACTAAGTTTCGGACATATTCGGCTCTAACTCCCAAACTAAGTTTAGGGCCCTTTTTCTATGACTTATCCTGACAGTGAACTCAATGGATATGTAGATAACATATAGCATTACAACATTATAACAGCACAACATTGGTGTTGGTGCCAAACAAAAGAATCTCCATTTGTCTATTGTTCCAACTAGCAAGTGGCCATACTCAATACTATTTGGCGCATTAAATTTGTGTTGTCACAGAGAACAGCTCAATTAAAAATACACTACACTAAATCGGCATGAATAAATATGTTTTGAAGCCCATTAAACGATAGACAACATCAACAAGCAGACATGGCAAATCAGATGCAGTCTTGTTTATGGAACTTACCTGCCGAGCAAGTGACTCAATTTTTTATACCATCGAGTACATTTCGGCTGGTAACCTAAGATCATAACCTAGATATCATCAGCCAATAAAACCTGTGATAACATCATAAATGATGATCAAGTCACATTGCAATGAAAAACAAGAACAGAAGCTTCAAGGAACTATAAATGAAGATGACAAGTGTGCACTTCACATAAATATAAGAAAGGCGAAGTAAAACACCTTAGTTTGGGTTTGGGAACTTATGTACGGTTTTGAGACCTCTTATTTCCAATTCATTCCTGTCTTATATAATTCCAAAGAAGAAGACCTGGACAAATGAAGGATTAAATTTAGTAGACAAAGAAGCACACTACTGGAGAAGTCTCATATGAGAGTGCCCTTAAAAGCTCTTTGTGGCCTAGGGGAAATGCAAAGCATTTAACTTAACAGTTCAGTAATATAAAATATGTATTGTGGAAGTTACTACATGCTCGTTAAATCAGAGCGGCATGGATATTGGGGAATTTTCAAAATTTGATCAAGTGCCCAAACTCCATAGTCCACAGACCAAAAATAGAAAAAAAGAAAAAAGAATTAGTGGTTCCAACCATACATCTATCCAAAGAACCACCTCTAATCTAAATAAAGATTGATAATCATCTAGTTCACAGTTTTGGGGCCTAGAATATCTTAGAGGATGAGTAGAGGTAATTTGTCAGAAACAATGGCTAAGCAACACGTTGATTGATATTATGGGGAATGCAAGCAACCATTCTGGTAAGCAGTTAACAATAGAAAGAATTAACTTACTTTTTGAATTTTCCATGATTTACAAATTCAGTAGGATTACTCGTGCTTCCAGCACTGCTGTGGGGATCTAAGGGTAGATTTGATGTGCTCATTGATGATCCACTTCTGTGGGACTGAACAATACTATTGTCCATCTCATAAGTGCTGGTGCTCCAAAAATCCTCTGAAATGCTTGATTTCTTGACTGTTCGGCCTCAAATTCTCAGTCTCTTGGATGGCTTGTCAGCAGCAATTATCAAAGGGGGCTTAGTACAGCATCCAAGACAACCTCTGCTCTGTTGCAAATCAAATTTATAACCATAAAATGATTAGTACAAAAGAAAATGGGAAAAAAACAATGCTTTCACATTTTTGACAAACACCTATGTTATTATTTATAACTAATTATTATTTGGTGCGTCTTAAAGTAAACTAGGCTTAATTCCTCTGCTTTTCTTTTCTTTTCTTTTCTTCCAGCAGCAATCTCAGTTAAGTCATGTCTTCAGAAAGTAGCATCCATGAATTAACTAATAACACCATGATATTGAAAAAT